TCGAAAAATGGAATTTTGGGAGGAAATTTGTTACCTCATATTTTTGACACAAGACAAATGTGAGGATTAAAGGTGATCATATACTCGTGATAAAATGACTTGGTTGTGTCCCAGTCGAAATGGCCAATTTCGACCATAAGGTTGAAGTTGGAATTATCTAAAAAGCTACGTTTATTCAAGGCATATGCTTGGAACCTTGGTCAGAATTTTAATATCAACAAGGATTGAGTCAAAAAAGAGATAGTCGATCTCAATTTTTGAGACTTAGTAAAATTTAGAGAACTTTCAGTTTAATGCTACTACTATTGATGCAAGCTTCATCGAAGCAATATGTAAACAGATAAGATCAAACAATTATTGGAGGATATATGTAAGCTTGTTAAAGGCGAAGTATACATGGAGATGGACACGTGACAAATGTTTCTAAGTCGACCGTTGATGACGATTACATTAGAACTGTTATATAAGTAGTTCATGTTTGTAGTATTAAAGGTCTGCAATTTTACACAAATTATGTGTACTGAAAGTATCTGTGTTAGCGAGAAATGAGTGATTTAAATCAATGCATGCATTTGAATTCCATTTATAAATTTGGTTTCTTCTACTCATTGTTTCATTTACTACGTTTAATTTGCATCTTTCATTTTGACATTCATTGTCAAATGTGTTTCACTACCAATAATTTTTAACCAATGTCCTAGGATATTTCCGAGTTTAATCTATTGCATAAATCAAACATGTCTTTGTTTACCAAAATCACCAGTAAATAGTAACCTCACATCATTTCTACTGCGACTTTTCTTCATCGGGACTTTCTTTTTCCTCTTCATTTACTTTAACAACAACGATCTTATCATCAATAACAAAGATACAATGCTATTTTGTAATCGTCTTAGTATTGGTATTAAATGTGTCTTTTTGTTGATCATCAAATTGTTTTGCTAATTGCCAACTTGTGTCTCAAGGTTTCTCATGGAGGCTTCAACTTTATTGTGACTAGCCATAGACAACTACATAAGTTGATTAAGCGTTTCCTCAAACTTTGTTGCTTTGTCTTGTTGTGGAGGTTCTTGTGAATAATGCTAATAGGATTGTCTATTTGTTGAATCAAATTCAATCTCCATTCTTGATTGAAGTTGTTATTTCTTGGGAAGTTATTATTTGGATATTACTCGGGCCTTTGTTGATTACCTACATAATTGACTTTTATAACAATTGGGAGGAAAAATCCAGTTGGATGATCACCGATGCATAATTCACAAAATGCAATATGTCTTTGTTGTGGTGATTTGTATATTTTCTTTAATTGTTGTCAGATCATCCATTTCTTTGCCTCAATCTCCCTCTCCTATTCTCCCTTGTTTTCATTTTTGGTGAGAACCTATTTTCCCTAGAAACTACCCAGAATCCAACAATATATCTAAGTGAACTGTCTGGCCGCCAATTTATAAGATTTAAAAGGGTAGGTTCGTTAAGAGCACCACCCAAGCTCACTTAACACACATACTTTCTTCTTGGTTAAGTAATGTCCTCTCACATGCAACTTTCCTTTCCACTCTAGCTATCTAATCGCACCACCCAAACTTGCTTAGCCACCAAACTCTTCCTCCACCTTGAAGTAACACAATCCTGAAGTTATAAACTTCATTTGCTCGCTAAACACACCTGTATTTTTGGATTAGCGAGGTTGACATCATTATTCGCTAAGTGCGCCTATGTTCTTGGCTTAGTAGGTCTTGATTTGTTGGAAAAATACTTTGAATTTGTCTTTGTATTGCTTTGGTGATTTCTTCATCTTTTTTACATCTTTTTAATCAATATACAGTTAAAAAAAGTCCAATGTATCGTCTTTCATTGATAAATCAAAGTGTTTTTTATTAATTATTTATAAAATAAGTTTAAAGTGTCTTTGTTTTATATCTTATTATTTTTAATAATTTTCATAAAATATTGATTTTGTTTCATTTATATTATGAGTGGGATTCAACTTATTTCAAGAGTAATTTTTTTTTAATTTATTCTAAATCATATCTTTTAAATTGAATCTAATATAATAATTAACATTTTTATTTAATTGTTATTGACATTTTAACTTAATTAATTATTTGATTAAATCTAATTTAAAGAGTATGATTTGGACCCACTCTTATATTATTTATAAATTAATTTTTACTAAAATAATAATATTTCACCATTGAGCTGTTTTCAAAATCTGTAGATTTGATTGACTCTAAGTAATTGTACTAATAGTTGACAAAGAGTTTGATTATATTTTCTTTGATGCTGTTTGGCTTGGATCCGTTAACTCCATGTGATGTGCTCAGTTATTAAACTTTTGTAGATGTCGATAAAGTGTGTACTCTAGCCACTTTTTGGTGTGTGTAACAATGGTCCCCTTTTTAGGGTTTTACTAACTTCATGATTTTCACCCCTTAAGTAACATCTTATACATAACACCCAAATATAAACATGCTGATAAAGATTGCTTACATTTTCAAATAAAATTGATGATGATAACATAAAGGATAGTGATATTAGCTAATTTTATTAAAACCAATAAAACTAACTAGTTTGTGTCTAAATTTGATAATATTAATTTCATATTGAAAAGATTACTCTCGAATTTAAAGTTTTCTTTCAAAGATTTAATGCGATCAAATTTTTTTGAAATCCAAATTCAAAAAAAGTATTTTAAGATTTTTTAATCACCTACTATGACATTAACAAATCGTGCCTAGATATTTATTTCTTTGAGTTAAGATATTTTAAATTTTATTCTGCATTAGTTTTTTGGCTGACTCAAGTCTAATACAATTTTTCAATATAAGTTCAATATATCACGAGGCATAAATATGTTCCATTCAAACTATCAAACATATTTGTTTTACTTTCGTTTTGGTTACATGTTTAGCTAAGATTTTAACTATGTACCATATACTATCTATTATGTATGTTCCTCTCTATTTTTTTAAAAAAAAAAATTTGTGAGTGTGATTATTAATAAAAAAATTTACAATTTTGTATTAATGTCTGCTTTATGAAGCAAAAGCTTATGTCAGTATATCTGATTTCCTGAGTCATACTTTTTTATTTGATCTTTGATTCTTGATTTCTATCTTAGATTCTGATCTTTAATTCTGATCTTAGATTTGAGTTGGAAGCACAAAGTTTGTGTCAGCTACTTCTTGGTTTCTGGTCTTGAATTCTTTCCTTTCTAATCTCTTGAATTCTGATCTTTGGATTGAATTGAAAACAAACAACTTATGTCAGTTTCATCTTGATTTCTGATCATGAATTCTTTCTTTCTAATATCTGAGATCACCGTTTCTGATATCTTTAGATGTTCTATCTAAGCTCTGATTACTGATATCTTCATTCTTGATATTGAGCCGTAAGCAAAATCTTTTATCAACTACTTCTTTGATTTTTGATATCTTGACTTCATAGTTCTTGATACTGATCTTGATTCTGATGTTGAACTTTTCTTTGAAACTCATCAAAATTCTTTTCTTGTCGAACATTAAGCATTCAACAGAACACTGATGTTTCATTATAAATGAACTCAATGGTTCTTCTTCTGAATAATAAAGTGATTCTGATGATATCTTGATTAAGACTATCTCAAATTCTAATATCTACACACTCAATGAAACTATTAGAATTAAAATTGTTCAACTACATAAAATATATGCATTATTATCTTCAAAACATAGAGATTTAAACACATATCCAAATCTTGTTCTAACAATTTCAATATTTTGATCGAGTTTAACATTTTAAATATGAACCATCTACTATCTATTATGTAACGTATCACTCTTAATGTCACTCTTAATGAAAGATAGACAATTTTTAAAATTATAAATATTAACTTCAATGTCATAATGTTTACTAATACAACTCCTATAACTATCGAAGCCAAGAATTCCAACCAAACACCACTATCAAATTACGACACTTTCGTTTATCGAAGTTATGAACCTGAATTCTTGATTAGAACCAATCTTAAATTGAATAAGATATTCAAACTAACCAGCCAAATTTTAAGAATAAATATAAACTATATTTGTACATAATGATAATTATGAATGAAAAGATTGTCCATTATGCCTCACCATAAAATGATAAGATGTAGACTTTCATATTCATTTGACAAATAGGGATGCATGCCACGTGGCAACTCATGCACCTTTGCTTTATCTTTTAGTGCGCCATGGTTTTTATTCAATTCCGGCATCTTCCTTTTTCCAACCTTGAAGGTTCAAATCTACTTCTTCTTCTTCTTCAACATTATTTTCATACCTATCAAATCCAAAACCAAGCTTCTAAATTTCAAACTTTTCTCTACCTTCAATCTTCATCATTCACTCACTACTTATAAGGTTCTTATATTATCATTTATAGCTTTACACTTCTTCTTATTACTTATCTCGATGTGTATATATAGTTCTTGATATATGATATCCATAACTAGGGTTTCTAGTTGTATTTTCAACTTTAACATGTTCTTTTTCTTTCTTTCTTTCTTTATGGTTTAATCAACTTTAACATGCTTTAGTTGTGCATGCTTATTCAAATTTTAATTTAATTTTTATAAATACTTACAAAACCCCTTATCCTTTATTTTTATTTTTATTTTCTATATATTTTTTTAATTTATTATTGTTTCCTCTTTTAAATGAAACTAAATTTGATGCGAATTTATATGTATGACTATATGTTTCAATTATTTATACTATTTAGTAATGAATTATATTTTTTAGAGAACATTTAATGCAATAGATAGTAACTATACCCCCCTTTAAGTTTTTCATTAATTCTCACAAAATCTTAGTTTATTTACATATATTGAAAAAATTATTAAAAAAAATAGTTCTACATCAATCTATGTCATTTTTTTTCTTATTATGTTTATTGTTGATGTTTGAACAGAATGAGCCTACTAAAAGTGGAAGGAAGAGAATCTTCACCAAGCAACCAACAATGAAAGAAATTAGAAGATGAGTAATAATTCAAAGGAAGTTGAGTTTCCATTGAAACAAGAGATTCACCAAAACTCAAATGATCAACAAGAAAAAGAAAAGGCTTCATCATCATCATTAAACTCGTTATCTTCGACGCAGTGGCCAAGATTGAAAGATCCAAGAATTGTTAGAGTATCAAGAGCCTTTGGTGGAAAAGATAGACATAGCAAAGTTTGCACAATAAGAGGATTAAGAGATAGAAGAATAAGACTTTCAGTTCCAACAGCTATTCAACTCTATGATCTTCAAGATAGGTTAGGGCTTAATCAACCTAGTAAAGTTGTTGATTGGTTACTTAATATTGCAAAACATGAAATTGATCAACTTCCACCATTACCTAATTTTCCACCTCTAGGAGCAAATTTCAACTTCGGTTTTCCTCTTCCGGCTAACGAATCGATCACCATCGCCAACACGGACGCTAACACTTGTCAAACTCATCAACAATTGTTGAATTTCAATAGGAGTAACAATATTCATTGGGACGGTTCGTCTTCAAGCCATGAATCGAAAGAGGTTTCGAGAGAAATGGTTATGGAAAAAGGGAATTATTGGATGAATAATAGAAGTACTACTCAAGAAGAGGTAAATGTTAACACAAAGCAAGGTAGTAACAATGTTGAAGTTCCTAGTGCAATTGCTTTACCTAATAGTAACAATTTGTTGCAAAGACCAAATCACCCTTCATTTCTTGGTTTGTTAAATACAATGCCATTTGGTTCTAGTTACAATTGGGGAGTTTCTTCAAATGATCATGCTTTTGCAAATCAAGAAGTTGTTAGTGCAATTACATCTTTGCCACCAATGTTGTCTTTATCAACTGGAAATTCTTCTCAAATGTTGTTTGGAACATCACAATCATATTTTTCTTCAAATGTAAATGCAATGGAGATGGAACATCATCAACAACATCAACATCAACAGCATCAAAGACAAATCAATAATCATTATCATCAAATGTTGAGTTCGTCGAGTTCGCAAAATCCGTTGAATAATTCTCTCAACAATCCATCTTTCAGTTTGGCCAAATTTCTAGAAAACTCATCAAATAAAGAACAAGGCTTCTCTCCAAAGTGATCTTACTCAAAGACACAAATACAAAAGGTTATCTTATTTGAATTCTCCTCTTCTCAAAATTTGCATGGTTCTTGAAGATTGTGTGATGAGAAAACTAGTTTCTTTAGTTATAGTTATATATTGAGATTTGAATAATCATCACTTATTGTTTTTTTTTTTTTGTGAGTGCTTGTTTGGATTTTCTATATAGTTTCTTGCAATTTTAGGCAAACCCTTTAGTTTGAATCTGTTGTTTTTCTAAGAGAGAGTAATTTAGAAGCTCTTTTTCATTTGATAATTTAATGTTTGACTCATAATAATACATTTGCAAATTGGTTTATTCTCTAATCTAGATAACATGTAGCAGAATTTTTAGATTGATACTATCTTACAATTTCATGGCCAAAGTGTAGTATTTAGCCTTTTTTTAATTAGTTATATATATTATTGCTTCATTCTTAGACCTTTGTTTGAAGATTCAACTTATTTTTTTGTAAATAATCAAATTATTCTCTAAAATTATAAGAAATTATCAATTATTATATGTTTTAAATATATTTCAAAACATACTTCATCAGAAACTAAACTGGGTGACATTAAATAAATCTAAAATAATTTAAAAAAATATTAAATGAGAGTAAAAATCATCTGTTATGTAATAAACATATTTTAAAAGTTATGACATTTTGTTATATATAAAATTTTAAAAAATCTATTATTGTATATTTTATGATTTAAAAATGTATTTTATTCAAATGTTAATAGATTAACATTTTGAAATTTAAGAAATTATTTTAGTAGCTATAATGTAGAGAACTATATTAATATTGTCCTACCATTCAGAGGTCTTTCCAGTTTGACAGTTATTTTTAATTAATCCTATAAGTTTGTTTTTTTATGAATTAGTCTTTATGTTAAATTGGATTTTTAACTTTTAAAAAATGCATTCATTACATTGGTATCCTTTAAGTTATATCTTTAGACTATGCAAAAGACAAATTTTGTTCAACATGCTTCATACTAAAGCTGAGTTACTTAGGTGAATTCAATGATTACTTTTAAATAGAGATTTGATGGAAAAAAGTATTTAGGTTTTAATGTTTTTGGATTTAAGAATTTATGTTTAGAGAAAAAGTAGTGAATGAAAAAAACGATACTAATTTAACATGTTTATGTTAATTATAATTAGCTCATCCTAAAAATATCAAGCATTCTTTTTCTTTTTAACAGAACATTTTTAACAGCATAAACAATATAGAACATAAAGAATCAATTCAAGAAAAAATAATATTAAAGGTCCAATTCAAGAATTTTGTTAAATTTAAATGACAACATACTTAATTATAGTTTTAAATAATAGTTAAATTACTAATGCAATTGCAATTACGAACAAAATTTAAATCACCACCTACATAATTATAATTTTAAATATTAGTTAAATTATTAATATAATTGTGATTACGGTCATTCCAATTGTGCAATACACATTATCGCAGTTGAAACATAAATAATTTTAAATTTCCATAGTATTCAAAATGAAACTTTTTTTTGGTTAGTTTAATCAACTAATTTCAATCTTTATAGTGAAAATTAACTTAAATAGTATCCAAACAATTTGTATTCAATCGAAATTCATTTTTCACTAGAGTCCAAATCCTTAATTTATGATCTTAAATTATTTACTAATCATAATTATAAACTTATTACTTTCCATACATTTAAAATCTATAAACTTAAATTTTCCATTTTTAGTAATGAAAATTGCACAAATATAGTCAAAATTTAAACTCTATTTCTTTTTATTTATTATTTATTATTACTAATAATTCGTTATTAAATCATGGAGTTTTTTTTTTTAATTTAGTCAATCGTATTTAATCCACATACTAAACTGACTAATATAATTTTGTGATTCAGAAGTACGATTTAGTGACTAAACATTATTTCTACGAGAATTTAACTCGCATAGTACCGAATCATGGAGAATTTTGAATACAATAAAGACTATAAATTCAAAATTTTCCATATTTAGTAATAAAATTTGAACAAATATAATAAAAAAAAGAACAATATTTGTATTTATTCATTATTACTATTGCTTAATTATTAAACCATGTAGATAATTTTTACCTTTTGTACATTACTTTCCCTTCATTATTAATCTTTTTTCATAGATAGATTCGTACTGGTGCATGCGCGTTTGGAAGCACATCAACATGGATTATTAGTCTTCTAAAAAACAGTACATGTCACTGTTTTCCATCAGACACTAAAAAAAGCTTACACATGAAAATAACTAAACAAAAATCTCTGTCTAAAGTAACGAAATTCAAAAGACTAGATTGGTTATTGTTAGACATATTAATCACATTATGGATAGTACTATACGTCCTTTTAAAGATAACTGAACATACAAGACAGAAGTTTCAGACTGTACTTACACCTTCTGGTTACTTTGTCTCTAAATAAAGCTTAGGGTTATGTGTGTATGTGTGTGTAAAACTTTTTACTGAATTTGTTAACTTGGAAAATAAAACAGTAAATTGAAGGAAAAACAGAATGCCAGAATGTTGTGTTATTTATGTTTATTTTTGAAGTTTAATGTAAGGTGTAATAATATTGAGTTTGCGATATCAATCATTAGTTAGTTTAGTGGTGTTTCAGACTTAGTAGGAGTATTAGGGTTTCATCTTCACAATCACGATTATGAGCGGATTTGAACCATTTGATGATATAACTGACCTCTGAACCAGATTATATGGACTATGAAAAAAAATAAATGGTAGAGTTTGCATAAATTTTTTCCTCAAGAGTTTAATAAATATTTATTTTGAAATTCTATAAATGGTAATATAATATACAACAGTTATTAAGTGTTTCAGTTAGGTCATAGATTTAACCTAACAAGTCTTTAGATAATGTTGTTCTTAACTAGCTGAATAAAATTTCCACCTTTTAAAGTTACTAAGTGTTGTGTATAGATTTATTTATAATTCTTTTGAGTAATTATTCTTGCTCTAATGGTGTCACCTCTAATTATAAGTTATTGTACTATTTCTACAGGTTTTTATAATATTGATCTTGTTAAAAGTGGATTTTTTTAGTTTTAATAAAAAATTGTGATTTTATAGTAATTAAAAAAATGTAGAGATATAGTATTTTATTAAAATTTATTAAATATATTAATGGTTATGGTTTATGTTTTTTTAGATGACAATTAATATAAGATGCATTTTATTTTTATTTATTTTTGGTGAAGTTTTTACTAGCAATATATATGAAAAATCAGACGTATTTCAATCAGTAAAAGTATGATTAAGTATATTTTTTTCATTATATATATATATATATAAGAATCTATTAATTTTCTGTATTATATGTTTAAAAAAAAATTATATTTAATCTCCATGTCATATGAATGATAAAGTAGTGATGAAAACTTTCATTAAATGAAATTGAAAATAAACATTTATAATGAGAATTAGGTATAATGACTAAATTTGGCAGAAGCTATTTTAGACACAAATCATATATTTAACTCTTACATGTAAAATGTTGAAATATTTTCTCTTTCTCACAATAGTAGTCACTTCAAAGAAAATGTCACTTTTTATTTTTCTATTGTGCACTTTCTTTTCTTATTAATGTTATGTACACGAATCTAATGTTATTATCCTACATTTTAATTTATGTTATGAAAATACATCTATAAGATTAACTAAGTCAAGAGTTTGAAGAAATAGTCCTTCATTTTAAATGGACTTTTAAAAGGTCATGATTTTGTCACTTGGTTCTTCATTGATTATATGATAAGAATGTTCAATCATAGAGGTGGAGAACCTAAATCAGAGCTTGTGACTTTTCGATGATTTTTTTTGTCTTGGTTAAGGGGGGTGTCCATATTATAATAAATAATATTTTTTATGATGAAATTTTTACATAAAAAATTGCGACTATATGTGAATGAAGCCAACTTTTTTTAAAAATAATAATAATAATAAGTCTATTACATTGGCTTTTAATATATATATATATATATATATATATATATATATATATATATATATATATATATATATATATATATATATATATATATATATATATATATATATATATATATATATATATATATAAGTTTTGAGGTTTGATTCCCACTTGTTGTAATCGGTTTTAAATTGAGAGTCGTCACCCTTAATTTTTATCTTTGAGAAGGGAATATAAAGGATAACTCTAATTTAGTCGGAGATTCTAGGTTGTTGGACTCGTTCTTTGACGAAGGGAAGGTTTTAGGCACCCCTCATCTACCTTGTTCACAAGGATACTAGGGTTTAGAAGCGCGATGTTTGAAAAATAGGGTTTTAGTTTTTATTAGGGAAACTCTAATTTTAATCGTATGTCTATGTATTCTTTTAAGAGAAATCAGAGTCTCAATTTGTAGTTCACAGTGTTGGTTAGTGTTATAAGATTGAGTAGAATTGCTTTCGAATTATGCTTGAACCTTGTCTGAGTTGTAAGTTGAGTGATCGTAGACGCAGTTCACAGTTAATTTTGAAAGCAATTCTCCTTAATCATTTTTCAAAAATATCTTGATTTTGATTACGTTAGTAGAAAATGATTTGATGTTGGTTAGATGTTTTAAGTTTCAATTTGATTAAAGAGTATACAAAGATACAGAGTGGAGGGAGTCTGATATAGTATCCTCGTCATGTGGCCAGATATTTGTCACATGTTGCTCGTCATGAAGAATGCGGAGGGAGTCTGATATAGTCTTCCTCATCACGTGGCCAGATATTGGCCACGTGTCGCTCGCGAATGAAGTATTTAGTGAATTAGGTGGATTTTAATATCTTTGTAAATTATTGAATTAATTATTGTGAAAAATATTTGAATTAATATTTCTTTATGAAATAAATGATCTAATTACTTTAATTAAATTAATTATAAAACAAATTAAAACAACCCCATGATATAACCTAATGAATAAATTAACCAAACTTAATTATATAAATTAATCTAAC